TAAGTGCATCCCACCAGAACATGTATAACATCAAAATGTTATATTCTCCAAGCACTTAACAATAAATCTTTTCAAACCACAAATATTTTCTAGTCATAAATCTTTTTTGTTTGTGGTCAGTTGACTAACTTGATATGGTAGGTTCAGTTGTATCCTATGATAATTTTTTTAAAATTTAGCTATGTAGAAAAGCACACCACAGAAGTTCTGCATGGTAAATTATATCTCTTTCAACTTCTACCCTTTTTTCTCTACCCCCAATAGATAAATATTTTCTCCATAACAGAACATAGAGACCTTTTTTTTGGTAACAGCTGCATTATATATACAAGACTCATACTTTTTTCAACCAATATTCTGTACTAGCTACTTGGTTTGGATACAGTCTTGAAAAAACACTTTGGAAACATTCACCGCTTAGTTTACTTGCTATTTCAGAAGCATTGGACATTTAACCACTTTAACCCTTGGACTTTTTTCTCTCTTATATTTACACTGACATCATTCTCTTATTTTTTTAATTTTTATATTCCCCATACAATTGCACCCCCCTTATTTTGACCCCAATTCCTCCTTTCCCCACCCTTTCCCCACCCTGTCTCTGGTTTATAGTTGTTTGTTGATTTTGATTTTTTCTTTCTTATGGTTATTCTTTTTCCTGGTCCCTTATTTAGGTTTTCTAGATTCCTGCTATGAGTGAGACCATCCGGTATTTTTCTTTTTCTTTCATTCTCTTAATTTTTGTTTTACAGACTTAAAATCTTTCCATCTTATTCTTTGCTTTCCTTCCTTTTCCTGTCTATTGTAACATTTATATTCCATATGGTTCTGCTCTTGGCTTGCTGCTCTCCTGTTGCACTCACTTCCTGAGAGTCACCTAAGCACTCTGATGTTTGAACCACCACTTAATACTCAATGTTCACATATTATATATCCATGACCTTAAAATCCAACCCTGCTACCTAACTGACTATGCTACATCTTTGTCTGAGTTTCTCAAAGATATCTCAAACTCAACACATATAAAATCAAACATATTTTCTACCTCATTCTTCCTACTCTATCTCCTTCTAGATTATATGCTTTAATCATACATTTTATTGAGCAGGCCAGAAATCTAGGAATAAAAAAATGTAATCACTAAATCTTATTTGATATCACTTGCTTGCTAGTAATTATCCCCTTTTCCCATTCCTGATGCATTTATTTTGGGTCCTCTTTCTATTTCTCCTTGACCGCAGACCTTTTTAAAAGATGTTTTTGAAAAAGTCAACTCTCTTGCTCCCTACTTGAAGGTTTTCAGTGGCTTCCTGTTTCCGAAGAGCAGTGTCCATTGACTACATGGAAAATAAGGTTCTTCGTGACATTTTGTCACCGTCCTGGATCCGACCACTTAGGTCTCATGCCAGCAACAGGAACTATCAAGTCATTCCTCTGTACATACTGTCCTTTCAGCCTCATGTGCCCCTCCCCTCACCCTTCAAGTTTGATTTTCTTTGGAATGTTATATCTAACATCACTTGTATGAATCAAGTTCTTACACTGTCAAATGTTTGTCAGCTATATTGTGCTTATTTTGATAATTTCCTCCTCACAATGTGAAATCTTAAAGGCACAACTTCTCTCTCTTTTTTTTTATGTTGTCCTTTGAGTTTCATGCAGGTTCTACCTTACCTTAACTTACTGTGTTGTATGTGTGTTGAGGTAGTGGGTGGCTACTTCTGTTGTTGTGTCTGGCACAATTCTTGAGAGCAGACACCGATTCTGGATTTGTGTCTCGTTTGTGGTTTTATTTCCAATGCTTAGCAAAATGCTTGGGTAGCCACTCAGTAAAAATGTAGCTGTTATCATACTAGAGGAAGATGGATGCATTCATGCTGGTATATTTATGCATCACCTGATATTTAAGATATGGAATAATGGGAACACCTCAGAGAGACTCTATCTTTGAACACATTTCATTTTGTCATATATTTGAACAACAAACCTGCTGTTATGATTACAACACATGTCTCTGATATCAACAGTGATTTCTAGTACATCAATGACTATGTTAAGGATGTTGTACAAGGGACAGATCCTATCCTGAGAAGTGTAACATTCAAAAGCCTCATATAATCTAGATAGAACAACATTACAAAATGCAATAATGCTTTTTCAGTAAAAAAAAAAAAAAGTCTCCAGATGACTTCAATGTAGTATTAATACATATGTATATGTTTGTCTATATTGGTAGTATTATAGATAATGCTTAGTTTACTTTAAATTACTTCAAACATAATGTAATATAGGTTAATGTTACATTGTGTTACATTAAACATAACATTAATGTGATATGTTGCACATATGAATTTTGTGTACTTATATCTGTTTTATAGCTGAAAAATAAACATAAGGAAGTAGCAAAATGAAGGGGAAGAGACTCAGATAAATGTGAAAGTTTCCTAAGTCAAACATTCCTTATTTAAACATTTCCATTTAAACAATACTATGAAATTGAAAATGTTATAGTTGTAAGGTCTTTTTTTAGTTATGTTACTCTCTTATTCCTTCCCCTATACAAGCAAATAAACCAAACATTTAAAAATAAGGAGACTGGGTCTAGAAATCGTTCCAGAATCACTTGTTTTTATTTGTAACATTTAGTTTACAGGAATTATTTGGTTATAGAAGTATTTATGATGACTAATAGTGGTTTCTAGGCAGCATTGCAAATAGAATTTTGTAAGATGTGTCTTGGCAGATGGAAGGTGATGTTGCGTAAATTGAATCCATAAAATATGTTTTATAAACTAATGCAGGTGTTGGTTTTGCTCTTTATATTTATTTTGGAATTGTGAACTGAAAAAGGAAACAACTCTACCTGAACTGTATGGACATTAATTTGATAATCTTCACATAACATTCACTTATGTATAGATGGTTACATTCATTTGTAACAAATCAAATCCCCTCCATAGTGACATACATATTTTCAAGATACATTTTCTTTTCAAAGTCTAAAATATCACTTATATTTCATTATGTTTTTGTAATGCTGATAGCGTGAGGGTGATTATAAGAAAAAACTGTACTCTAAAGTTAATAATTTGTGTTGAAATAGACATACGTTGAACAATATTAGATAGTTTAATATTAGTATACAATATAACATAGTATTATATTATATATCTCAATTATCAGTACAAGGTATTATCAACATTCAATAGTGTGTTGGAAAAGAATACATTTGTATCATTTACTGATATACTCTTCCATGTGACAGAAATACTCTGACCATAGCTGACTTCTAGCAACCAACATGATGTCAATACACAGCAATTCACAAGGTATAATGAGAATTTTAGCATTGGAAATTTTGCTTGTTGATGGCTTTTCTCCTATGAAAGTGGCTACCTTGTGAATTTATGTACCTATTTTATACTCATGATACTGTTCCTCAAAATGTATTTTGGAAACTCCTTGTAAAGTATTAGGTTTCTAAGATATTATCTTTTAAAATTTGTGTTTGATTATGGATTTGATTTTCAGAAATGTGAAAATTTTCATAATCAAAAAGAATTATGAAATTTTTGAAAAATTAATTATTAATTATTTTGGCAGAATCATGCATTTGGTGACTACAGGGGCCAGTTAGGTAATGTAAACTGAGAGTAGACAGCTACTAGGGATTGAGTAACAGCCTGGAAATTCAGGCTTTATCTAATGGATGCTAGAATGCAGAGTTAATATTGCGTGGTTTTCTAGTCTTCCAGAGAAGGTGAAAAATTGCTTATTTATTGGATCTTCTCAATTATAAAATGTTCACTCAGTTATTTTGAACACTAGATTTGCAATCTCTACTTTACAACATATCTTCGTGGTGTTTATACTTTATATATGCTTTTAAATATTTCATAAATTCAACTTTTTTCACACCAATGATTTTCCTTTCTAATTTATCAATAATATTGTGTGATAGCAGAGAAGAAATATATTACATGGTCTTATCAGTGAGGCTTACCACATATACAATAACAACCCCCCTGTACCTCTTCTCCATGTATTTTCTCCATATCATTTATCAAAATTTGGCAGATTATATATTTACTTGTTTGCTCATTGCCTCTTCATTTTCTCTATACCATAAACTCTTTGAAGACATCTTTTGTTTACTGATGTATACATAGTTCCTAAATAGTAGGTCTTTAATAAATATTCATTTTTTCCATTCATTGTCATGATTTCTATAGCAATCCTTATGCATACTTTCAGATCTCTATTTTCATCCAAATCCCATTTTTGTGTTGGTGCTATTACTACTAATACTACAAATAATAATAATAAAAGCAAACATTGAAATAACTTTTATTACATGCCAACCACTGTTCTAATATATTTATTGCCAGAATAATGTTGTATAACAAACCATTCTAAAACTTAAAAATGTAAAAAAAATTGCAATAATAGCAATTTATTATTTTTTACATCACTGTTTTTTTCTGATTTAGATTAAGCACCAAAGACATTGGCTTGGCTCTCTCACCAGAAGTTTGTTGTTTAGTTGAATGGGACTTCAATTGGATAGCTCAGAGAAACCACCTTGGCCCTTTTCTGTATGGTCTCTGATTTTTCATAGGTTTCTTCCCACGGCCAGAGAAAAGTTAAAGGAAAGCAAGAGTAGAAAAATGCAATCCCTCTTGAAATTTAAGCACAGACTGGATCCTATCACTTCCCACATATTCTATTGGACAAATCAAGTTAAAACACTAGTCCAGGTTCAAAAGTGGGGAACAGACCTTACATCTTGATGGGAAGAACTGTAATAGTAATTACACTAAAGAACTGGAAACCATTATTTCCCACGGACAGGTATTATGATTATCCCTATTTTAGAAGAAACATATACGGAGACGCTCAGCAACCAGCTCAAGGTTATGAAGTAATTAGATGATGGCACTAGTATTTTAATTCAGGCACTCTGCCTTCTATCTGCACTTTTAATTCCTGCTACCTACGCTCTCTGAAGAGGACAGTATATCAGTTGCAGGTATGATAAAGGAGAAAAGGTAAAAGATGTTAAAGGGAATTTTAAGTAAGACTATTTAAAGAAGAAATGAACAATGCATAGAAAATGAAAAAGGTTAGTGCAATAAGATGACACTAAGAGTCCTCCTGTGTGAAATAGTAAAGGTTTGCATGTAGCCGGTGAGTTTTGAAAAGAGAAGGCTTTGTTGCTGAAGGTAGCTGGAGCTGGCTTACTAAAACTACAGCTTGTTAGAATATATTTCATGGCAATAACTGGAAGGAGGGCACAGTATCCACAAAAAAAAAGCCATTCACAAATGAAATCTTGGCAGTATGAATAGTTAGGAAAAGGTTTTACAACTTCCTGTACCGGCTGCAAATTCAACTTTAAATCTTATGGCTTAGTTGATTAAGTTGGTTTATAATGCTTAGTTTTTAGGAGAAATGGATATGGGAATATGATCTCCCCCTCCTCAGTAACATAATAAGCATCCCCAAATGTATTATGTAGTACTTTAATTTTTAATTTATATTTTTATTATTACATGCAATACTATCTTAATATCTTAGTTCTCAATTTTCCATTTTTTTAAACAGCATCCAGAATAAGTTTTCAAAATGCACATTGATCATAGGACCCTTCTTAAAATCCTAAGTGAACCCATTTTCTTCAAAGTGAAACCAAAACTCATTAAGATCCTCTACCAGGTGGCCGCATTTCAGCTCCCAAGCCTGTTTCTTATCATCACTTCTCTCCCAGCTAAATGCCTTGTAGAATTCCAAATGAGTCATATAGTTACCCGTCTCTTTCCCTTTGTTCATACTTTCCATTTGACAAGGTTTCTCTTTTTCTTAATTTTTGTTAATTTGAGAGGTTGGCACAGAGAGCAATGCCGGAACTGAAAAGGCATGAGACGAGTACCCGCCAAGGAAATTGTGAGCAAAAGTGACACATCTTTCTTTTGGATCAAGGTTATGTATAATTCTCTTATCTCTCTCATATTTCATTGGCTAAAAAGGCAGAGGTTTCAGATACAACAGCTGAAAGTTGGTGGGACTTTCCCAGTTCTAAATCCCTAAGTGATATGTAAAACAGAGCCCCGTGGGCTTCCCTGGTGGCACAAGGGGTTAAGCACAACACTATGGAGGTATCTGCAGCCTCTGCAGCACTAGTTCCATCCCCAGCCTGCCAGGGAGCTACCCACATGGCACAGCAGACCTCTCCTGGCTTACCTGCTGCTCCCCTCAGCAGTGTATTGCAGTCAGTCTGCCTGTTCTGTTCCCCACTTTGTGTCTGGTGAGTCCTCTCACCAAACCCCCCTGCATCTCTGGCCTGTACCCAGTTCTTGTATGCATAAATAAATAAATCTTTTAAAAAACCAAATATATAAACAGAGCCCACTCTGAAAATAAGTTTGGCCACAAATGAGTAATCAATTATCGTTTAGTTAAGTTACTGAGACTTTAGAATTAGTGCTACATCGGTTTTTGCTAGCATAACAATACTATTGGAACATTATTTAAAATTTTTTTGGTTACTATTATGTTTGAACTTACATATACATATTGAACATTTATATTTTATTTATTAACTTCAATTCTTCAGTAAAATGTCTTTTGCCCATTTTTTTCTATTCATATTGATTTATAAAATATCTTTATATATGAAATTATGTTAAACCTTTATGTTATTTGTTTTCCCCCACTTTAGGATGGAAAAAGCCTTCTGAAATTTGATAGATTAATTTTTCTAATTTTTATTGAGGTATAATATACATAAAATATGTTAGCTTTAAGTCTATGACAAAATGATGTGATATATATATTAAAATGAGCACAATAGTAAGTTTAGTTAACATCTGTCACTACACATGGCTATAAATTTTTTTCTCATGATGAGAACTTCTAGTATCTACTTTCTTAATAACTGTCAAAATACAATACAGTATTGTTAATTATAGTCACCATTATGTACATTACATCCACAGGACTTATTTATAAGTAGAAGCTTGTACCTTTTGAACACCTTCACCTATTTCTCTAATTTTATTATTCTCTTTATTTAAATCATTTAAATATTTTCTAAGACATGATATTCTATAATCTACTATGATATATGTTGGTGCATGCTGTTAAACAGGAATATAGTTACATATAATACATCCATCTTAAAACTTAGTTGGCTCTTTCTTCTAAATTGAAAGATAGTTTTGGTGGTATGCCCTTGAATTATTTCTTAAATAAAATCCTCATGACATTTAATATCCATTTAGTATATTCAGAACAACTGAGTCACTTAGCTCTCCACTGACTATCCATTCTAGGGAGGCAGAACAGACAGGAAGCAAAGGTGTGTCCAGACAGAGCGGAAATGCCTGAATCAGTCATGTAAGCTGCCTGGAATTAGAATGGGAAACAGTTCTTTTCCTCAGTAGCCCTTTAATTAGAATTTTATTTCTTCACTTAAATTTTCAGTCTTTTATGTGGTGATTAAGTACAAATTGAGGACTGTGAAGCATTTTGACAGATAAATGGGAAATTCCTTTGATATTTTTGCAGTTGAGTATGTCAATCTAGCAATTTGCAATCATGGTGACTTTTGCTTTGCTTGGAGATAAACACAGTATGGATAGCGAAGAATTATCTCACTATTTTTTTCAGTTACCGTCCTGTGTTTTCACACTTATACTGGGATGTAACGACATTCAGTTTCTAACCAAGTGCATGTAGATGCTACTATCTTAACACAAATGTCTTATGGGGACTGCAATATCTGTAAAAGTCTACAATTTTGAGATCTTATAGAAATATGTGTCAGTGGTAGTGCTGGAATAAGGCTGGTGTGTGTGTGTGTGTGTGTGTGTGAGAGAGAGAGAGAGAGAGAGAGAGAGAGAGAGAGAGAGAGAGAGAGAGAGAGAGAAAGAGAAAGACAAATTAGCTGCAGCCTTGTCTGAGGCAGGTTTAATTAGCAGGTCCATAGTCTTCTGTTGCTTTTTCAGTGGGTCTTCATCTTTCATGAGATGGATGTCTAGCCTGTATTAACATGATTGGATTTTGGTGGCTCTGGGCTACATGCTTGTAAGGAAAAACGTAAGATAAATCTTATAAGTACCACCAATACAGACAGCTAATAATAGCAACCGTATTACCTGTTTTCTGCATTTGTGGAAACATCAGGTAATACAATGTCAGCTAACACTATAGTCACTGTGCTGTACATTACAACTTCAAGACTTATTTATAAATGTTAGTTTGCTCTGCCCACTTACAAATGATGTTCACTATGTTTATTATGATGTCAATTATGATATCCCAGTAAGTTGTAATTGGAGCTTTATATGTAATTGGTCTTTGGCTATATAATGGAGAGAACTAAAACATATTGATTTTATGAACTCATGTTTTAGCATTTGAAAGAGGTGAAAATAAACTATATTGTCAATGATTTTTTTTTGTACTTTCAAGTTTTCCAAATATCTATGAGGTTACAATTTTAAATTTCTCAAGATACAGGTGGACTCTTTAAACAATTTGGTCTGCTTTCTATAATTTTATGTCTTTGAAGGCAGGTTTGTATATCCCCAAAATGAGAGTATCATCATTTTATCATAAATTAATACTTTTTTTACATAAATATGTTGTTACACTATACCTGTAGTCAGCAGGTGACCTAAGTACACTCAGTGTTGTGTGAGAAATTACTTGGGTGCAAATTCACTCAAGTGAATTTGTACAAGCCTCCGTGTACAGCACAGGGCAAGTTAGCTATACCAGAAACCACAAAATAGAAGAGTTTCTGGATTAAATTATAACATATTGAGCTATATTTTATTTTTTTTAAGATTTATTTATTTATGCATACAAGGACTGGGGTACAGGCCAGAGGTACGGGGTGGGGGCGGTGAGAGGATTCACCAGAGACAGAATGGGGAGCAGAACAGGCAGACTGACTGAAATACACTGCTGAGGGGAGCAGCAGGAGTGAAAGGAGAGGTCTGCTGTGCCATGTGGGTAGCTCCCTGGCTGGCTGGGGATCGAACTTGAGCTGCAGAGGCTACAGATAGCTTCCCAGTGCTGTCTTTAACCCCTTGCGCCATCAGGGAGGCCTTGAGCTATATATTTTATTAAGTAAATTTAAAATATACTATGAAAAGCAAAGGGAAAGAGTGAGGTCAATTAACCACTGGGGAAATGGGGCATGTAGGGTGAAAAAAATTACAATGCCTGCATTCTGGGGTATCAGAAACCAAGCTTGGATTCTAACAAAGATTCAGTTACTTGAAAATAACTTGGTTATCTCAGCTTTACATTAGGTATTTTTTTTCTCTAGAAAACCATTTTGCTAACTATAAAAATGAAAAGAATTATAGAATAAAAACCTTATGTAAACAATAAGGAAGGTGCTGAGCAAAGGATAGATGTTAATCTTGTTATTAACAACAAGGTTATCTGAAAGGACAATGTTATTATAAGTCCCATAACTCATAGCCATGAGTTAATGAACTAGATTCATTCATTCACTCACTCAATTATCTACTGTTTTACTATATGACAGATATAGTTCCAGACAGTAGGGATAAAACAGTGAATAAAACTGCAAATATCCCTATTCTTATAATATCCATTCTTATAAGAGGAAACAACATAACAAATAATTAAAGTACAATGAAGAGTAAGAATAGAGCAGAGTAAGGGTGGGGGCAAACCCCGAGGGTTAGGCATTACAACAGAGGTAACCATCGTTGGTAAACAATGTCTAAGCAGTGAGTCCTATAGATATTTGGAGAAAACACATGAGGACATTTTTGTGCTTAAAGAAAAGATCAGATTCTAAATTCTTTTTTAAGGTTGAGCCATTAGGATTTGTTAACAGAGAACAGCATATGCAAATGGCCTAAAACAAAAAGTGTCTTATTTCTTTCACAAAAACTAAGGACTCCATCATAGTTAAAGAAGACACATCGAAAGGGAGAAAAATGTACTAGGAGGTCAGAAAGATTAATGGTGGGGCCAGATGCATGGGGCTTTGTAGGCATTTTAAAGAATTTGACTTATGTGCAAGATTTTTTTTAAGTTTTATTTATTTATTTATATAAGAACCGGGGTACAGGCCAGATGTGCGGGAGGGTGAGAGGATTCACCAGAGACAGAGCCGGGAGCAGAACAGGCAGACTGACTGAAATGCACTGCTGAGGGGAGCAGCAGGCGCAACAGGAGAGGTCTGCTGCACCACGTGGGACCCTCGAACCAGCACTGCAGAGGCTGCAACAGCTTCACAGCGTGGTGCTCAACCGCCTGCACCACCAGGGGAGGCCCAGTGTGCAAGATTTCATATGCATTTGTATCATATGTACGAGAGTTGAAGCAGAAAAGTGACATGCAACATATATTTAAAAGTGATCATTATGTCTGCCTTGCTGTCAACAGACTAGAGTGAAAGTAGGAAAACCAGTTTTGGAAGATGGTGTAATAATCAAGGGAGAAGTTAGTGACTTAATCTGGAGTACTAGGGAAAGGTTATAGCCTGCATGTAATTTGAAGATTGAGTTATCAGAATTTGTCTACAGGTTGGATATACTGTATGAAGAAAAGACAGGAAGCAAGATAAATGCAAGGTTTTGGACTTGAGCACAAAAATGGATGGCAATTTCATTAACTGAGATGGTAAAAATGAATAGCATTTTGGAGAGAATAAAAGTTCTATTTTAGATATATTAATCTAAATTTTAAGTATGGTTAGAACTTTCTTTTTAATTTTTTTTATGTTTTACATCATTCATTTTTAAACAATATTTGCTTCTCCCCACCCCCTCAGGTGTAGTCCCCATAGAGTTTCCTTCCCCAATGCACCTGTTCACCATCAATCACCTCAGTGGCCTGTGCTCCTCCCTCCCTTCCTCTGATCCCTCTCCCTCCTCCCCCCCTGCAGTATGTCTTTGATTTATAATTGTCTGTTTTTGCTTTGTTGTGTTTTGTACTGTTGCTGTTTTTTTTTTTTGTTTTTTTTTTTACACTGATGTCTTATTTGGTTCCCCTATATTCCTGCTATAAATGAAACCATGTGATATTTTTCTTTTTCCTTCTGGCTTATTTCGCTGAGCATAATTCTTTCTACCTCCATCCACATTGCTGTAAATGGCATGAGTTTATCTTTTCTGATTGCTGAATAATATTCCTTTGTGTATACATGCCACATCTTCTTGATCCAGTCATCTATTTTTGGGCATTTGATTTGTTTCCAGGTTTTACCTATTGTAAATAGTGTAAATAGTAAATTGTAAATAGTGCTGCAATAAACATAGGGGTACAGGTTGTCTTTTGAATCAATGTTTTTGTGTCCTTTGGGTAGATCCCTAGGAGTGGAATTGCCAGATCATATGGTAGCTCCATTTTTAGTAGACTGAGGAACCTCCAGACAGCTTTCCATAGTGGTTGGACCAGTTTTCACTCCTACCAGCAGTGTAGGAGAGTTCCTTTTTCACCACATTCTTGCCAACATTTGCTGTTGCTGGTTTTTTTCATATGTGCCATTCTTACCGGTATAAGGTGGTATCTCAATGTGGTTTTGATTTGCATTTCGCTGATTATAAGGGATGTTGAACATTTTTTTCATATGCCTGTTGGCCATTTGCATTTCTTCTTTGGATAAATGTCAATTAAGTTCTTCTGCACATTTCTTGACTGGATTGTTTGTTTTTGTTGAGTCGTGTGAGTTCTTTTTATATCTTTGTGATCAGTCCCTTATCAGTTGACTGGAGTGCAAAGATTTTTTTCCCAATCAGTGGGGTGTCTCTCTGTTTTGGTTAATGTCTCTTTTGCTGTACAGAAGCTTTTGAGTTTGATGTAATCCCAGGTGTTTATCTTTTCCTTGACTGTCTTTGCTTTGAGTGATGAGTCTTAAAGATGTTATTGTGATGGATGTCTTGTAGTGTTTTGCCTATATTTTCTTCTATCTATTTTATGGTTTCAGGTCTATGTCCAGTTCTTTTATCCATTTTGAGTTGATTTTTTTTGCGTGGTGAGAGGTAGTGGTCTAATTTCATTTTTTCACATGTGGTGGTCCAGTTTTCCCAGCACCATTTATTGAGCAAACTGTCCATGTTAGCAGGTTAGAACTTTAGATACATAAATATGGAGTCCAGGGGAGACTTATGAACTACAGATAAAAATTTGAGTGTTGTCGTGGCAGGGTGATATTTGAAAGCAATGAATCAGGATAAAATCACCCATGTAATGCAGGCAGTGAGAGGTGAGTAGGATAAACTGTAGTATTAAAAGACCTGTGATAAGGACTGTAAACAAAACTGGGTAGAAATAACTAGTAAGGGGGGAAGAAAATCAGCATGTATTGGAATATCTAAAAAGAAACATTTTAAAT